CTTCATTGGGCAAACAGAGCCAGAAACTGTCCCTTGCCACTGCAGCACAGGCAGCACCCAGCTTCAGGAGGGTAAAAGAAAAACAATTGGAAAGTCAGTAAATATAAATTCTGAGAATGGCTCTAGGTTGAGCTGTGTGAGTGTATCAGGAGCTAACCACTCAGGGAAAAGGTATTGATTGCTGACAGGCCACAATCCTACCCACAACCTAGGCCCATCACAGCAATTCCAAGCTAGAGGAAACAGCCATCTCCCTCTTTTGTAATATTCAAAGCAGATCTCTCTCCCACTGAACTAGCCTGGGAGGAGGGTCATAAAGTCCCTGGTAAGGCAGAGCTTCATTCTTCCTGCTCAAACAAACTGATTTAAGAAACCAATCAAGCAAACCACAAGCAAACACCACAAGCAAACCGCAGACTTTACCAAGAGACTGATTACAGACACAGGGGAAAAAACAAAGTGAAGAACTCTTTTTTTTTTCCTACCTAATTTAAAAAAAATATTAGAAAGAATTTTAAAATTTTAAATTAAAAAGTGTTTTCTATTTTTATTTTAGTTTTTTTTTAGTTCTTTTTACTCTTTTCCCTTTTGGTCCTTTTTCTTTTTTTGCTTTACTTAATTGCTGTTCTGTTCATCCCCAGATATATACCTGTCTTCAGTTATTAGACCTTATCCTTCATTGTGTGCATAATTAATTCAGATTGATTACTCAATTCACAAATTCTCAGCCTTAACTCTTTTAATTGTAGTATTATTACTTTATACTAATATATAATTTTTAGTGTATTTTTATTTTTGTTTTCCTCTTTCTTTATCTCTTTCCTTCAATTCTTTCCCTCTCTCTGAATTTAGGTCTTGGTTATATTCTCTCTCTCTCTTTCCCTCCTCACATTCCTCTAATCTTATTTTCTCCTCACAATTCTCCCTACACCTATTAATTTCTGGTCTGCTGACTTTCGTTGATTTTCTTGGTCCATTGATCCTAGTAGTTTGTTGTTGAACTAGATTGTATCTGTTGAACTAGATAGTACATGTACTCATTTTGACTTCATCAAATAATCTGTGCAACTACAAGGCTCTGGTTGATGCTTGCCTTAACATAGTGTTCTAGCATGGAATTGGTTTTGCTTTCATTCCCAAATGGGCAGAACAAGCCAGAAAACACAAGAAAAATGGCAAGTCCATGTATCTCAACTACTGCTCATGAAAATCAGGAAAAAGAACAGTTAATAAATAATCCAGAGAAGAATTCCCAAAATGCTCTACAAACATTACTCATAAACATACTGAATGAAAAGATTGGAAGCATGCAAAGGACTCTGTGTGAGCATAATAGGGAAATCTGTGAGCATGATGAGGCTAACCAAAGATTAATACAAAAATTTCGAGAGATTAATGGGAGAATTGCCTGAGCAGTATGAGAATAAACAAAGACTAATGGAGGCATTCATGGAATCAGTGAACAGAAAGCTAAAGGAATCAATGGAGGCCACAAAGGGAATGTTGAATGAAACCCAACAGAAGGAAAAGGAGTCCCATGAAACTATAACCAATCAACTAAGGGATCTGAGAATGAACACTGACAACAAAATTAAGGAAGTAAAGTCCATGCAAGATCAAAAATAAAACTCCAACAACGAACTTTACAAGTTTGGTGGGGGAGGTGGAGAGGTTGGGAAGGGATGGAAGGAGAAACGAAGAGGAGGCAACAATGCTTGATAAGAAATGTACTCGTTATCTTGCCCATGTAATTGTAACTCCTCTATATGGTATTCTCACAATTTAAAAAAAAAAAAAAGAATTTGAAGCTATCCAATCTGACCAATTAGAAGGAAAGAAAATAATAAACAAAGTAGAAAGTTTTGAAAGATTGAAAACTGAATCTCTGGGATTGAAAACAGACTAGACATTATAGAAGAAGAACAGACAAGTATTCAAAACAAATCCAAGAAACATGATAGATCTATTCAACATTTAGAAGACACCATCAGATCACCTTATTTAAGGCTAATGAGTGTAGCGGAAGACCTAAAGACAGAAGTGAAAGTTCTAGGAAATTTATTTAACAGTATCCTAGCAGAGAACTTCCCAAACATGCAAAAAGATAGGCCCATTCAGATACAAGAAGTCTTTAGAACCCCAAATAGACCAGACCTGAACAGGATATCCCACCATCACATTGTAAAACCACAGGATCAATTGAGACCAAGGAAAGGATCATTAAAGGTGTCAGGGAGAAAAGATCAATCACCTATAAAGGAAAACTAATCAGAATAACTTCAGATTTCTCAGCAGAGACAATTAAAGCAAGAAGGGCCTGGAATTATTTATGCCATGCCCTAAAGACAAATATCTGTAACCAACAATACTATACCAGGCTAAAACTCTCCTTTGTAAGGGAAGGTCAAATAAAAACGTTCCACAGCAAAAAAAAAAAAAAAAAGAAACAATATATGTTCATCAGCCCTACAAAAGATACTTAATGATTTCCTACACATAGGAAACCAGCAAAAGTACAATAAAGGCCAAGCAACAGCCCCAAACAGAGCATCCAAGAATCATAGGAAGAACCCAATTGTGATAGCCCCCAAGAAGGTGGATAACATGGCAGGAACTACCAAAAACCTCTCAGTCCTAACTCTCAGTATTAGTGGATTTAACTCTCCAATTAAGCGACATACATTGTCTAATTGGATCAAAAAGCAAGAACCTTCTTTCTGCTGCCTTCAAGAGTCACACTTTGCCTATAAAAACAAACATATTCTGAAAGTGAAAGGCTGGAATAATCTACCAAGCAAATGGCCCCCATAAACAGGTAGGAGTTGCAATCCTAATATCAGATAAAATAGACTTCAAATTTAAATTAGTGAGAAGAGATAAAGAAGGTCATTACATACTCATTAAGGGATCTCTCCTTCAGGAGGATATTACTATTCTAAATATCTATTCACTAAATAACAGAGCACCCAAATTTATCCAAGAAATCCTACTTTCTTTCAAATCTCACAAAGATTCAAAGACATTAATTGTTAGGGACTTTAACACACCGCTCTCCCTGCTGGATGGATCAATCCAGCAAAAACTCAACAGAGAAACCTCAGACCTAAACAACTGCATAGATCAACTTGACTTAACAGACATCTACCGGTTTTCACCCAGCAGCATCAGAATACATGTTCTTCTCGGCAGTACATGGAACATTCTCCAAAATGGACCTCATTTTAGGTCACAAAGCAAATTTGTCCAAATTCAGAAATATTTCAATTATGCCTTGCATTCTCTCAGACTACAAGGGAATAAAATTAGAATTCAACACCAAAAACCACCAAAGAAAATATAAATTCCTATTTATAAATGTCATAGCTTTGGGTGAACTGTCTTGCCAGATTACTTGTTCAGCTTCTCCAATAAAGTGCACTGGATAAACAACCTGACTTGGACAGTGGTGAGCCAGATAATGCCATTGTGTGAGATAATCAGAAGTTGATTTTGCTGCTGTTGAGTACTTAGGCTTTCCTTTCCACAATAGTCCTATTCAAAATAATAATAGTGTTCCTATAATTTTGAAGTAATAGTAGCATTACTATTATTTTGAATTGGAAAGATGTTTCTGAAGAATTCAAGAAAATGTCTTTTTCATTCTCTTTAAAAGGTGAAAATCTATTCATTCACAAAGATCAGTTGATATACATATATATACAAATGTATGTTTGTATGTATATATATATATATATACATTTATATATTATTCTCCCTCTCTATATATGTATTCATACTATTGTCTCAGGAGAAAGAAATGATAGTGAGATAAACATAAAATAATTGAAACAATATTCTGTGGCTCCCAACTGGACTTGAGGGAAAAACTATTGTGAGCCTTCATCTGAAAAATCAGCTAGACCACAAAGGACTGAGGGCATGGCTACCTAGTGCAAGCCTTAAGATCAAAATCTAGTACTGTTCCTTCAAAAGACAAAACATATCCCCTCCAAAGCACATAGCAAACTTCAAGTTTTGCATAAATAAGAAAATATATGTATAATTGACTGAATCACAATAGCATGCTAGTAAGTCTTGGTTAAACATACATTAAGCAAGAAGTCATAAGTTAAATTCTCAATGACCAAAAAGGATTTTTTGGATTGTTACATTATTTCCATGATTCAAACTCCTATCTAGCTTTTCTACTATACTTTGTCTTGGTGAATATCAGTATGTCTTGTTAAAGAAAATTAACTTTTAAATTTAATAATCCTGCTCAGTTTTGTAAATAAAAGTGATGAAGACTATTAAAAGGATGTCTGATTGTCCTTCAACAATATTGATAAGAAATAGGTTCTCGGTAAGAAACCATTGTAAATAACTGAAAGATTATGAGGATTATGTCAAATTTATGAAGATTATGTCAAAGATTATGAAGATATGCAAGTGTATTCAATACTGCTGTTTACACGGTCATTTCTTTTTTTAAATGTAAATTTCTGTACTTATGGATTATAAACATTTTTCTCTGTACCACATAGGTTCTCTCAGGCATATGTACATTCTGACTTGCAATATTCCCCATGACGTAGTCATTCATGCTGCTCTCTGTAAGGCGAATACATAGCGGTATGTCTCCTGAAGCATTGGATATTTCAAGCTTACCCTTTCACATATTCCCAATGAAGAATAATTGTGACAGCATTTCACAATTCATCTGAAAGGGTGACACATAGCAAATGCTGAGTATTTCAATGTACAAAGACAAATACCCTTCAAAGGAGAAGGACTACTTTGAAGACAAGTTGTGCAATGGACAATGTAGTCACTCTCTTGCAGTTATACATTACGAGAATCCAAACTTTATTATCACCAATCTTTCTCAGACAGCAAGACAGTGCATAATTTTAGCTACACTGGTCAGAAGATAATAAGGGAAGCTTCAGCAAAATAGACAATATCAATATTATTAAGAGAAAACTATCTCACCATACAATGTCATCAGAACTCAAACCTACCTGATCTGCTATCCAGAGGTCCAAAATCCAAGGAATATTTCACGACGTGGTAGTTATTCCATACATATAGTAAATTGTCCCTGGGGTTGTAATCCACAGCTGCTATATACTGGTATGAGTTGGGAAAGGGTACATCAACCAGACTGTCCTTGCTTTGGTCCGTGTTGTAAATGTAGTCAATCTTGTTCCCAGTGGCTTCATTGTCATCATCCTCATACACAGACTTGACCACATACAGAATCCCACAGATCATAAACGCGTTGGAAGCTGATCTTTTATCGTATGCCGTATCCCACGTCCCTTCAATCCGTAGCGTGTAAGGGTTCAGTTGACTAATGACAATTTTGCCATTGTTTTGTTCTGTTGCATAGATAACCCAGAGGCCATTTTCATCCACTGCCAAGTCAATGTCTGATTTCCCTCCCCATCGGTAAGGTGAGGTGTCATGGTAGTTGGCGTTAGCGATGATAGCTTCTCCACTCTTTATCCTAGTCCGCAAATCAAACTTGACTATGTTCCTGGTGCGTTCTTTATTGAAGAATAGAGCTCCATCATATACTACAAAGCCAGTGCCATCCACCCGATGAGGAAGCTTGTAGGTAGTGGTGGGTCTTCCAGCAATGAAGTCATCTTTGGATGAATACTCAGTTAGGGTGTCAGTTCTGTATGGGGTCCAGGGCATATAGTAAATCTTATCAGAAGCCTGCAGAGGGTCTTTACACCAAGCCCCAGATTGGTGATCAGATTCAAATAGATGTTCGCTCTGGTACACGCCTTTTAGTAGTCCAGGACAAAGAAAAACTGTTGAAAGCAGAAAAAAAGTTTAAATAGTAAATATATGCATTTAATATTGTCTCTCATGTTCTTATTCACATCAGCCAACACAAATCTAACAAGAGATGCCCACCACCACGGATTTGGCTGGAGTTTTGATTCAACTAAAGTATACTTCCTCATTAATTTTGGAATTCTTTCCAAATCACTTTATTTGCTGAAAAAAAAATTTAGCGATTTTATGAATAGCCATGTCACCTCTGTAAACAAATGTTGTGATTTTTTTATATGCACGGCTGTGGTAATGTATGTCTTCCTTGTATAGACATATAAAACTAAAAAAAAAATCATAGTGTTTTTATTAGTTCACTGAAGAACATGTCTTATTTGGAATTGAAAATACTTCCACTCTGATGAAATTAGCTGTGCAGTAGTTATTATTAAGAAACCCAGATGATAATTACACATTATTTTATTTTAAATAAAGGAGGGCAAAGTTCCATAATACAAGCCACTGAATCTTCTAGCAAAAAAAGATTCTTGAAGCTCCTACAACACACACAGAGCATGCAACCCACACAATTAAAAATGAGTGATGGATGGAGACTGGAAGGAAAAAAAGAGAAAGGAAGAGACAGAAAGGAAAGAAGGAAGAAGAAAAGAAGAAAAAGCAAAAGGTTACAGAAAAGAACCCAAGATCTAGATTTTAATCAGTTAAAAATGTCCTGTTAAATACAGTAGTATTGGAACTTAAAAACATGTACCTTTTACTGTTACATGAGAAAAACATTTAAAAAAAAAACAAGATTACTTGCTATATTTTGCTGCTCATACTTCAGAATGAAAACGGGCCATATTAGATTGCCTTTTAGTATGGTTCAGTAGCATATTGAGAGTGGTAGTCAGAAATCCTGGCAGATTTATCCGTAATGAAGGGGCTATCAAGCAATGTTTCCCAAAGGGTGGTCCTTGAAGCACCTGTTTCAAGTAGTGTACTACATTTTGCACAGAAGGATGAAAGGGATCCTTAGTCATATTTGCTTAAGTGGTACCATATTAAATATAATTGCAATAGAGATCCTAATAGTAGATTGGTAGATCTCCAAGGCAGAAGTATGGAGAGCGAGCAAATTTTACAAATGAATTTGATCCCGGGAGCTTTTGAATAGAGCTGCTTTGGATTACAGTGTTCTGCAGAACCTGCCATGGGAAACACTGCTCTCATATACTTGCAAAGCAAACACACTGAAAGTTAACCATGCAGTTCACTGTTAGGTTCACAGTGATTAGAAGTAGCCTGGGAAGAAAAATGAGGAATTCAAAGAAATTTGGATATCAACCTGTTTTTTATGTTGTTGTTGTTTGTTTGTTTTTTAGTGAACAAAGGGTTATTATTTTGGTATTAGTGGTTATTATTTTGGTATTTAGTAACCAATACAATAACAAATCCATAGGAAAACACACTAAAAGGAAATGAGGCTATGTATTAGAAATTATTGAAAAAAGAAACACATTAATAAAATATACAATGATTTAATTTTGAAGAAATGGAAAGTTTTTTTTGGAGAAAAAAGCTAGCTTCCAAAATCATTCATAGTAAGGACAGAGTGCCACTGTTAATTTATAATCATAATAAATGATAATTATAAGAATTTCTATATCTACTAAAGGAAATTAGGATTTTTTTTTCCAGTAAACTATTTCCTTTTTCCCTAGTAGTGAAAACAGGGACCAGAAGAGATCATGGTAGAGCCAGGAAAATAATCTGGTAAAGAAATGGAAACAGGGGCTGGGAAGGTGGCTCAGTGGTAGAGTGCTTGCCTAGCATGCATGAGGTCCTGGGTGGATTCCTCAGCACCACATAAGCAGAAAAAGCGGGAAGTGGTGCTGTGGCTTAAGTGGTAGAGCGCTATCCTTCAGCTGAAGAGCTGAGGGACAGCGCCCAGGCCCAGAGTTTAGGCCTCATGACCGGCAAAATAAAAATTAAAAAATTAAAAAATGGAAACAAGTCTAGCAATCATATTTCACACTTACTGGATTTTGAATTACTTATTTAAAAATAAAGAATTGAAAAATATATTGTTAATGATTCTACAATATTCATATGTGTTAGGATAAAAGGATTAACCCAGCACTAGTCAGTAAAACATATTAAAATGAAGTTGAGCAGCAGAAGTAGTCAATAAATTTCCATAAAATAGATAAGAATTAATAACAAAATTATTTTAACTAAATGTTAAAACTGTTAAATAACTTAGCCTATAAATAGTATATAATTTATGAAAGGTATTTAATTACCTTTTTGTTCCACTTCTATTGGAGAGAGAGAAGTAAAGAGAGAAAGGAGAAAAGAGAATAGATTAATGGTACGATATTGGCCAAGCACTTTTTATTCACCTCTTCCAAACTGAAAATAATTTACTTCACTCATACTTGTTTCATTGAACATTATGGTTTCTTTTTTAAAATATTTAAATAAGATAAATTTTTCACAATAATTATAAGCTTTCAAGCACAGTCAAATTTTGGCAAAAATAGTCAGATCTAATAAAAGTAAGATAAACACACTGTTTTAAATTACAGGAAATGTAATAGTCAAACACCAGTAGCTGCATTTCAATGATGAGATCAGCAAATAAATACACAGAAAATTTTCAAATAATTGGGTTAGTTTTACTTATACATATTATAGTTTAAACCATTATTCAACTCAATAATTTTGGTTTTTATGCAGCTCAAAGGACAGATTTCTTCTTAAAAAAAATCACCAACAGCAAAGCAAACAAACAAACAAAAACTTCACAACTCATTTCCCAGTACTTAGCTTTTGTGTTTCTTGTCAGTCTTAGGAGGTATGTATATTATAAGTTAGCCATCAGTAGGGAAGGACCAAATTTCAAATAAATGTGCTAAAAGCCCTTATTAAAGTAACTTTATTTCTGCTCATCAATATGCAATATCATGATGAAAAAACCACTGACTTTTTGGAAAAGATATTTAATTAGAGGCTTGACATAAATAATGAACCTTGACTTTGGCCTCTTTTACATTTTTAACTGTGTCAACACACACTTGAGAAAGTAAGAGATTCCTAAACATGCTGCTTAAGTATATCATACTAAGTATACTCAAATCCCATTATTACTTTTAAGGTATTTGTCAAATATCATCAAAAATAATTCTGACAAAATATAACATGTATATGAAATTCATTGTCACCTTTGGTGTATAAACTTGTTTCAGACACACTTATTTGCCTACATCCTAATGAGAGGAAATGGATAAACCAAAGCAAAGAGGTCAGGGAAGCATGGTATCATAGCTAAAACTGCAAGATTTATATTTGAAAAACCAGTTTACAGATAATGTGAAACTAAGGCAATTTCAGTAGAAAAGACTGGATGATATACAATGTACAGAAAGTAAATTTAAAACTCCAGGAGAGTTTTCAGAACAAGAGAGAAGTACCATTTTTAATAACTATATTTGGGTGAAATTTTTGTACTTTGACCTAAATGCATATGTAGTCAATTCTTATCAAAACTGTATTTATTTCTATCTATTGAAATTCTTTAAACTTCAGAATCACACGTTAGAAATAAAAAAGATGACTCCCCCAAATATGCTTAGTAACTTCGATTTCACTAATTCATGAATCTTCATTTTTAATAGCATTTCATGTGTGTGTGTGTGTGTGCTGGTACTGAAGCATGAATCCAGGGCCTTGCTCTCTCACTCAAACCATGCCTCTAGTCTGTCATTTTGCTGGAGTCATGCAGACTTTTCTGTCCATCTGGCTTCAAACCAGGATCCTCTAATATCCTGCCTAGCTAGGATTTCAGGTGAGTGCCATGAGCTCCTGGCTTTAGACCTCATTTTAAGATTCTACAATATGGTCCTAATTTGCTATCATGTCCCATTACCCTTTATTGACTTCAGAATATACTGGACTGGTATAATTCACAACAGATCAGTCAAAGCTTTATCTGGAAGAAAAAGAGAGGATACCGGGTAACGAAACCCATGCAAACACTGTAAGGTAAATAGATCTATAGCTTCCGCTGTGATGGTTCTAGGTCCTAGGCTTGGAATAATGTTCTAACAGACCTACAATATAGGCATTCACAACAAAAATAAATAAATAAATAATAGATAAAGAAAGAAAGAAAGAAATCCAGTGTAGGTTTCCAGATTCAAACCTGGTAAGCCCAGAGCTGTGTGAGGAGCCTAAGGAATGAAGCATCCCAGAGTCAAGCAAGCAAGTTAATTTGATAACACGATCCGGAGATGGTCCATTCCTGATGAAGAATGGTCCAATAGCCGATTATTTTAGTAGAAACATATGCTGTTTTATTCTGCAAAGGCTGTATCTGGTGGCGTATTTCATATCTTGGGAAGAATACAAACCTGTATTCAGACTGAGAAGCAAAATAAGGATGGCCATAACCTGAGATATTAAGTAGTATTCTCAAAAGTTTGGATGTGCCATTATTACAATGAAGGTTGAAGGTAAGAATACAAAAGCATAATTAAGTTGACCTTTTTTCAATTACTATCCCATAAAGACTTTACAACGAATTTGTTTCCTGGAATTAGTTCTATTTGTCCTTTGGAGAATTACATATGGAAGTGTTTCTAAAACATGTAATGTCTACACTGTGAACATTAACCATCTCCTCACACGCAATTCTTCATGGCAAATATTTTAACAACTTTTTAAGTGTTGATTTTTCAAAACCTACACGATGTAGAAGATAGGATGTCTAAGAAAAAGAGGGGACTATGAATCTATTATAGTCTGTAAATATTATCTTATACTTTATGGAATTTTAATTTTTCAAAATCATTCATCTCTATTATCTCAACTGTCATTTGGCAAAATTTTACTTTTAATTTCTAGTCTTGGTCTGATTTCCAGGAAATTGGCACAAACAGTAGTGCAAGCAAATCTTGCCTCTGTTGCTAGCTAGTTATTCAAAATTAAGATTTATTAGGCGGGTCTGCTTTGGAGAAAATTATGATAGTCTTGCCCATGTCATGACTGGCTGTAGCTCATTTATCATTTATTTGCTATTTTCAAGACTGAAGTAAAACAGACCTATAATTTAAGTTGAAATAAGCACACACAAATCATATTCCCATAGCAAAACTGGCAAGATAAAATAATTTGTTGTTGAAACATTTAGACTTGGCTAGTCATTGCCTCTTTTCTAATTCTAACGCTAAAAGCTTCCCATCTTTGAAATAGAAAATTAAAAGGATAGAACCATCAGTTGGACTCAATGTATACAGCTCAAGTAGTAGAAAGCCTGCCTAGCAAGCACAATGCCTTGAGTTCAAACCTGAGGACCATTAAAAAGAAGAATGAGGAGGAAGAGGAAGCGGAGGAGAAGGAAAACCCACATAGTTTAAGCACATTATAACAAAGATTAAAAAACTGGTAGAACTGAATTTGGATGAATAAGATATTCAATTTCTTTTCTACCAGATGTCTTTCACTACTTAATGAATGGAAAGGAAAGGAAATTTTATGAGAAATTAGTGTCTCTAACTCATTAAATATAAAACTGGAGAAAAACAAAAGAAAAATATGCATGATCTTGTAAGTTTCACTGACAAGAAAAAGTTGTTGCTATAAAACCGACTGCAAAGATTTCGAAACACAGGGTTGAAATGTTGCCATCTCTCCTTTGAATAGTGAGATCATAAATAAATGAGTTGTACAATGACAGCTATGCCAAGGTCTTTCTCAGATCTCCTGTCTTTTAGCTGGTCCAATATCCTGAATTCTGACATTATAGCTGTCATTGCTCATTTCCAAACCTCTTTGCAACTAGTTTTTTCTCCTTTTCCCTCTTCACTTTTAATCTTCAAAGTATTTTTATTGTCCACTCAGCCTCCATAAATATGTTTATATATTCCCTTAATGTGATTTTATTGTCGTCCTTTGTCAAACTTAATGTCATAAGCTATATCCCGTGGTTAGAGTAAATGACAATTTCAAACAAAGGGTAATTTTGTTCTGTATCAAGAAAGAAACTGGCAAAAAGAAACCAGCAAATTTTCCTTTCAATCTTCTACAGTTCATAAAGTAGACATAACATACAACTTGTTGTTGTTTAGAAAAACAACATGTTATCTGTTCCAACCATTTTTGTACCATATGAAATACTTTTGAATTGCATTTTGTTGTTGTTGGTAGTGGTGGTCGTGGAGCTTGAACTCTGAGCTTGGGCGCTGTCCCTCAGCTCCTCAGCTCAAGGTGAGCACTCTACTGCTTGAGCCATAGTGCCACTTCCAGTTTTCTAGTGGTTTATTGGAGATAAGAGTCTCACGGAGTTTTTTGCCCAGGCTGGTTTTGAACCATGATCCTCAGATCTCGGCTAGGATTAAAGGTGTGAGCCACTGGCACCCGGCTTGAATTGCATTCATTAATTAGAAAAGGTATGGATCAAATCACATATCATATGTTGTCAAATCTTCCTGAATTGCACTGTAAATTTACAAAGAGTATGATGCATGCCAAAAATTGCTAGTGCCACAACTGAAATGTATAAAATTATATAGACTTCTAATGTTGTTTGAAATTTCTTTTCTTTTAAATTCTGTCATAGACCACATTTTTCTATCTACTGTGTAGATTTTCCAAATGAGTTCAATGTCATAATCCAATAATGCTTCCATATTTCTGCCATAGGTGAATTAAAAGACACGTATGGGAATATAAGATGGTTGCCAAAATAGCAAGTAATTTAGATGCAGGCATGTTTTTAATTGATATGTAGTGGTGTCTTAAATAAACTTATTGTGTTGGTAATATTTGGATTAAAATATTAAAATACATTTGTGTAATCTGACCCCAGAAACTCAGCAGTTAGGGAGGTGGCACAAAGGTAAATGAAATTATATAGAAATAATTAGTCTGGAATATAATTTGTTGGACTAACATCTATGTCTATATAACCAGATATGTCTATCTATGTCTATCTAACCAAATAGCCTATTATAATTTTTAAAAATCATATTAATTGCCTAATTTAAATCTTTAAAAGATCAGTGTGGTAGTTACCATTCCCATGAGGGAAGAGTTAACACAAACCCAAATAGTTATAAACACCTCACCCAGATCAACAGAGGAAAGTGGCATAAATCTGTAAATTGTCTTATGTTAGACAATGTTTTTAGTGACATGGAAACTCAAGGAAACTTAGGTTTTTTGTGTCTGTTTGTTTTGTTTCTTGTTTTTTTTTTTTTCTTTCTCTTGTTCTCCATTCCCTCTGTTACTGTGCCACGAAGAAGTGGAATCTCACTAG